AAATTTCCATACCCACATTCCGAGGGCTGTAAAATTCTTATCAGTAGAGATAGGACACGAGTTATTATTTAAATTAACATCATTTTATAGGTCATTTTTGAGGTTCAAATATTGCTTCATATTTATGAATAACCCTGTATGTATCTGACTCAGTCTGCATAAAAAATAGTTAGGCATAAATATAAAAAAAAATATTTCACTAGTCTATAAAGTAGTTATTTATTATATTAGACGATAAAATTGAATTTTATCTTTGAGAGCAATTTAAAAAAGGAAAAAAAAATTAAAGCGTCAATAGATGTTTGAATTTTTAATAATAGAAAGTAAAAGTTCCCACCTTTAAGATAAAATTTTTATTCTGAAACACTTGCTTTTTATGTGTTTTGCAGGTACATATTTTCATTCTACAACAAGTTACTGAATGAATGTTCTAAAACTCAGTAAAATATTTTAATTTAATAAAAACATTTTAATTCCTATATATAGTATGACCCCGGATTGAATTTACAAGAGGATTTTTTTTATCTTTCATTTTACGCCAAACCTACAAACGAAAGACATTTTTTGTTTCACCTGAAACGAGCAAATCTGTACTTCAGTGAAAAGAAAAGTTAATTTTTCCTATCACATTGGCGTTTTATTTATTTGTCTATATGTCACTTTGACAATTAATTTATTAATTAAATAATGATAGTTCTTGTTTAAAATGACTTTGGTTTTTATCTTAAAGCTGTTTCTTTGAGTTGACATTTATTAAAATTATGTTTTTCACAAACATTTTTGTTATTTAACTTGCGTAAACTCATTTGTCAAAGTGACATTGTCAAAATAATAAAACCGCCAACGTGATAACAGAGAAAAATTATGCCAAATCCAAAAACAAGAGAAAAATGAACTTTTCTTTCTACTGAGTTAGTATAATGAAGTATACTAAAACTGTAACATTTAAATTTCATGTGCAAAATGACATTTTTGGTATTTTTGTTAAACTAATTTGCCCTAATAACAACAATTTAACATTATGTTTTTTTTTAATTGTAGCAATCTACAGGGTGATGCATTTTGGATGTCCGAATAGGGAATCTCCGAAACTAAGATGTTTAGCCAAAAACGGCTGACACATTCTGGATCTCATTTTTTGAGAAAATAATATTGGTTAAAACCGCATCTTCGCTATCATCTTTTGTTTTCGACTTATAGACAAAAGTTGACTTTTTGGCGAAATCTAAAAAAAATCATATCGTCGTTGTTATAGAAGATACGGATTTGAAATAAAGACATTGTACAGGCACTTTTTTACGAGGAATTTAATAATGTAGTTAGCAATTTTTTTCAGTTATTAGTTTAGCCGTAATAAGATAAACTTGTATTTTTTTAAATGGAAATCATAGGCGGCTATGGCAACTTCGAAGAGCTTATTTTTTTCTGATCTAAAAAATATATATTTGTAACAGAATATTTTTTTGTAATTATACTTAAAAAATAAAATACATATTTTGTTTGATAATAGTTGGCCATGGAAAAACTATTTCACTCCAAATGTGTAAATAATAATCAATAAGAGTTTTGTGAACTGTAAAATAAATGAAAAAATAGATAAAATTACAAAAATTTAAAAAATACGATACGGTAAAAGCATTGAACAAATATGCGAGCGCTTCAGAACAAAATTATTACATATTTTTAAAAAATCCAAAAATAGGAAAACCAATTTGTCAATAGTCAACACAATTAAAAAAATCATTTTTTTGGTGATCTAATGGAGGTGGGATAACGTTCCACATAGACGGAATTTGGGTATTTGAATAACCATATCGTCATTTTTGTGTCATATAAAATATATTTTATTGAAGAATTAAAGCGGTTTTTTTTTTCACAACACTCTATGTATCACTAGAAGTTACAATGGTAATGTTAGCTTGTTTAAAAACAAAGAAATGTTATTAGTCGCCAATAAGTTGATTTACGATTTATTTTGCATTTTTTTCATTACTTAGTACTTAGAAAACTCTTTCATTAGTGACACTGGTTGAATAATATAGTTTAAATCCATTTAGTTGAAGATGCAACATTTTTTCATGGCCAACTGCGAACAAAAATAAAAGATAATTTTTTGCTAAAAATGTATTATAATAATTTGTTACAAATATATATTTTTTAGATAAGAAAAAAACAAGCTTTTAAAATATGACATAGCCATCTATGATTCCTATTTAAAAAAATAAAAGTTTATTTTATTACGGCTAAACAAACAACTGAAAAAAATTGTTAACTACATTATTAAATTCTACGTAAAAAAGTGCCTGTATAATGTCCTTATTTCAAATCTGTGTCTTCTATAATAACGAAGATATGAATTTTTTTAGATTTCGCTAAAATGTCAATTTTTGTCTATAAGTCGAAAACAAAAGACGATAGCAGGATGCGGTTTTGACCAATATTATTTTCTCAAAAAATGAGCCCCAAAATGACTTACTCGTTTTTGGCTAAACATCTTAGTTTCGGAGATTCCCTATTCGGACATCCAAAATGCAGCACCCTGTACAGGCAGGCGGTAATTAAATTTTCGCAATTAATAAGTTGAGCATACAAAGTTAAAATTTTTTGTCCTGGAAAGCAATTTATTTTTAGTTTACGTTCATTTTACTTTGCTTGAAAAATCCTCGAAATTCTGCCAGTGGTTACATATTCAATGATAGGGTCAGAACGAATAAAAGACAAATATTTTTTCCTTTCTACGATAGTTTCTTGCCAAAGCTCAAGGTTCTTGATCAATCAATTTTAATTTATTTCCTTGTGATCGAAGCTGCATAATAAAATAACACTCAGAATCTCGGAAATGTGTTAAAATGTTGTCATTCAATGCTTGTCAAAGATTCATTTATATGCTTTTATCGACAACACGTTAATAAAAATATTAAATTATACAATGTTCTTTAATTTTTTCAGATTGGTAAAGTTGATGGTTTGGAAACAAAGCAAATATTTGCTTTCAGGAAGAACAAACAACTCGTAGTTGCCTACCATTAAATCAACAATTCTGTAAACGTTTTATTATATATTTTTGATTAAAAAAGAGCTAAAAAATTTACATTAAAAGCAAATTTTATATAAATAATCTGTGTTGAATCTTAGGACTCGTTGTAACTTGATTCTTCCCACTTAAATAATTTATTAGTAGTTTAATATTATAATAATCCATTGCTATCGCAAAATGCTTACGATTTTCATGACTTTCTTGCGCTTCATTATTTAGTTTATAACTTTAATAATTGGAAACCTTCACCGACGTAATTTTCCAAAAGAAACAATTCAAGAAAAGATTTATTTTTACTTAAGCTTCTCTTTTCCGCAATTCCGCTACATTGTTTATAAATTAAAGTCAACATTCACGTCTTTGTGGCGCAAAAAGAATAAAAGAGATTTATAATTTATTGCACCATAACTTGTTGCTAACACAAACATAAAAGAACGTGAAAAATAAAAATAAATTTCGCCTACTTAAACATATTTAACTAGGTAGACATTGCTACAAAAAATCCTTATATTAAGTAAGTGAAGGAGATACAAAGTTCGAAATTTAATGAGAATCATTAGCGCTCTGTACCGATAGTCGAGGAAAAGAAGAAAATGGAAACCCGACGGAAATCGATCACTAACGACAAAAAGTTGATATAAGGAGAATACTGTTTGCAGTGATATTATGTCTTCTAAAAATACAATAAAACTATTCTTATTTCTATAAATACATACAAATAGCAGCCAATCAGCTATTCATATTCTCAATTAGCCTCGTAACAATTATTTTTTATAAAAAATATACAAAAAAAATAACAATAGATATTTAGTTTTAATCTTGTTTTGAGTTAGCAAAATAAAAAATGTTTGTTATAATCCATAATGATTTAACGTGACTAGAAAAAACCGTCACATAAACGAAGAGTGTGTTTTAGATTTTAGTTTTTCTACCAGAAAACAACCAGTACCAACATTTGTTTTAAGTTAAAACAATTGTAGTGTTGTAGTATGTGAAATGTTATACAAGCTGGTTCATAACTCGTGCGATTATAGAACAATTGTTTAAAAAATTCTCTGTCAAAAAATGTTGACATTTATTTGTTGATATTTGACCTTTTTTTATTGATATCTATTTATTGATACCGATGATTTTGTACATGTTTTTTTTTATAATTTTTCAGTAAAGGTACAAAAAATTTGCCAACGAGAGCCGTAAATAGCGTTGAATTTAGTTATAATTGAAGATACAGTTTTTTGTTTTCTTTGTAATAGCCTGCACCAAAAAAACATGTAAAATTATTTTTCCAACAAAAATTAATTTTGGACTTTTACATTTTTTTTGCTTGTATAAATTTATTAAAAAAATTAAACTACAATACAACAACTTACCATTAATAGGTTAGAAGATTATCGCTTGCGTACTATTTTTAACATTTTAAAGTATGACATTTAAGAAATCTGATACTTGTACATGCATTACCATTTCTAAAGCTTCTTTCATCAACATTTTAATGACGTTCACCAACTAACAAGCTTTAGGTTCAAAGTAAACGATGCGACTTCAACATGTAATAAATAATTCAAACGAATATATTAAAATCTCGTCATGTTTTATATAAAATCTACTAAAATCACTATTGAAATATTTAAGATATTTGAATTTGCTACCGAGCCGAAAGCAATCCCCATATTGAAAGCAATACAATTTCGTGCCTAAATTTTTTCCCCTTAAAACCTTGCCTGATGAATTCTTTAGTAACAGGTTGATGATTACACTCGCATCCGAACCATCCAATAACTCTGCTTGAGATAAATCCCTCAAGACGATTGCATTGAAAAAGAACATAATGTCTAGGTTCCAGTAAATTGATTTCGACACGAAATCTTATTAGTTCTTCAACAAGATTTCCATATAAACACACAAAACTTTAAAGTCAATAATATATAGCTTGTACTAAACAATAATAAGAAAACAAATTTACCTTAAAACATTTTTTAAAATTTTTGTAAACGCGCCCCAACTTTATTCGGAATTTTCAGTTTCAGGAGTCCGGATCCTTGCGTTCAGCATGAAAACGCGGAAACAACTGAACTAGAGGATGCAAAGCTGCGCTTGCTATTATCGCATGGCTGGTACTGACGCATGAAATATTTTCTATAAGCCATTTTCATTATTTTCTCTTTTTTTTTAAATAAATAAAGTACACAACTTTTTGTAAATGCTAGTTTCTGTTTAGTTTTATTAAAAGTACAGATTATTTTTAATGCAACAGTGAAACAAAATTAAAGGCATTGTAGTATAAACATTTATAAAGATTAAAAAAACCGTTTTCGAATATTTTAATCCAAAAATAATTTACCTTGAAGTTTTCAGATTAGTTCAACTCACTTTTACATTTGCGTGTCTGTTCCAACAAGGAAATAGGTATGTACACAGTTACATGAAATCGTAAACGAATTATCATTACGTCTATTTATAGGTGAGCTAACAGTTGCAGTTCCGTATATAATTCTCCTGCGTTAAATTGTTATTATTATATCAGGTATGTCACATTTTATCAACAAGCTTTTAACACCTCTGAAAACGCACTACTTGTGCCACTTAAGTTAAAATTTTAATAATTTAGGTTTTAAAAAGTAGAGTAGAAATGCATCTAAGTCACAAAAAAACAAATCTCAAATAATATTTTTGTCGTATTTATGAGAAAGAAGTGCTTCAACATCAAACTGCTAAAAATAAATCCCATTATTTCTCCACAAATTTAAGTAGCCATTGTGATGCATTGTAAAAGATGGTAAATAATTGAGGTTAAATTAAGTTTAATTAATTAATTTAGCTCTTGGATGGATCTTCTTAATGTCTAGCAAAACACTATGTTAAAAATAAAAGTATGGTGGTTTAATTATTCAACAAAAGGATCTAAAATTTTTAAGAATTATCATATCATGATATTGACCGAATTTATATTACATACAACAATAAAAATTAGTTTTCAAAAAGATTAACTTAGATCAGATCGTATTGCTATTAAAACAAGTATTTATGAAAAATTTTAAAAGTGTCATAGGTTAATATTACTAATATTATATTAATATTTATGTTGCCACCGGCATGGCTAAAGGCCTCGGACGGTCTGAATATTAACAATAAGCACATAACAGTTTTTATTATTTGTAAAACATATTTGTTCTAAAAATAGTTGAAAAAATATCATTTCATTAAGTCAAAATATGACATTTCTTATTTGGAAGATGTAGAATGTCCCAAAAACGTGGGTACAATTGAGAAAGACAAAATTTCAGTACAACCTAAGTTATTCCTCGCTTCTTAAAAACGTAGATGATTAAAAAAATGTAGCATCATTTTGATATGTTAGAAGTAGAAATCATAAGAAAGCTCGAAAGTTTTTGTTCTGAAAACGAAGAGAAACATCGAACAAACGTTCTAAAAATAGAAAATTTGAAAAAAAACTAAACAAAAAACTCTCTTTCACGAAAAGTTTATTTCTCCACTTTAACAATCCCCAACTTTTAAACAAAGAACCAAAAAATGTTTAATTTTAACACTTTGCACATTTTACACACTCTGAATGTCATCTAATAGCTCTTTGATTTAATTTAATTGCCTTTAAAAATAAATTAGCGCCTAGCTTTACCGGACTTGTTTTATTTCCGCAATTATCAACAAACACCAAGCATTAAACCAAGCAATCCAAGTCTCAGCATCAAAATAATCGCAGGCGTGTTAGAGGGATGGTGAGATTTTACGACCGAGTAATTTCATTATTTTTTATTACCTCTACAGAAGCCACATCAGACTTTTCTTATATCATCCCTATTGTCGACCTAAAACCCCATTCCAACATTTAAAAAGAAAAATGCAAAATTCAGCAAATGTAAAACAATCAAAATCGCAATTACGTTTAGGACGTTTACGTTTGCAGGGTGAAGTTGAACGAAATTTAGGCAATATAAAAAATGTTCGTAAAAAATAAAATTGGTGAGGCGTTCAAGATGGGTGCATACAATGGCTCTTATTATTACAAGTGGTAGATATAAAAATAAATTCTCATCACAGAAACTACTCAGAACTTCAATAATCTACTCGTCCATGTTTAGTATTCTACAATATTGTTGCTGTTTCCTTTTTTTTAAACTTCTTGACACAGAAGGCAAGTTTAAGTTTTGTTGTTTTAATTGGCACTTAAAATCTTTCAATAGATACAAAAAAAACAAAGCGTTATTGCCTCGTTTTCTCTTTTTCTCTCAACTTATTTCGTTGCTTTTATTTTCGTAAACACACTTACTAAAATATAAAATAATAAATTTATTGTGTTATGTATGTATAATGACACATTAAAGTACAAGGTGTTCCAACTAAAATTTGCACCCCCTAAAATCTCCGATTTTGTCCAAGTTTGGAAAAAATGCTGAAACAGGTCAATTTTAACTTAAAAAGGGACCAAATTTTATCTTGATTATCCAACTAGCGCCTAGAGCCACCTCTTCAAAAAAATTAAATAGCAAGAGCGGTTGAATAAATAACACATCATTTTGAAGTTGCTTTCATTGTTTTATTTTTTAGTTTTGAATTATTTGTTTTTGAGAATCACGAAAATAAAAATTGTCAATTCGAAACAGTCTCATTTGAATAATATTATAAATTTGACATTTGTTTTTTGACATTTGACTATTTTTTATGACTATTTAATAATACTGATGATTTTGTATATGTTTTTTTACAATTATCTAGTAAAGGTACAAAAGTTTTGCCAATAAAAGCCACAAATAACATTGAACAGAGTTACAATTTAGGACACAGCTTTTTTGTTTCTTCTTCTAATGGCCTGTAGCAAAAAAACTTGGAAAATTATTTTCCCTACAGAAATAAATAGAGTCAAAGTGCAAAATTTAAACTCTCATAACTTTGAAACTTTTATAGATAGATTTTTTTTTAAATTTTTTCTATGTTTGTGGTACCTTACCCTACATGGCATTTGTCTTTGAAGCGGGAGTTCTGACGCACTCTGTATGTGCATACCATGTAGAACGTGACTCCTTCAACTTTTAGAATCGCGATATCTCAGGAATGGTGATTGTTAGAAAAAAAGTATAAGGACCATTTTGTAGATAATTTCAAGATCTATATTTTTTGTCTGGGCTATTTTTTTGATAAAACTTACCGTTTTCGAAAAAAATCTAAAAAACGTCAAATTTCGACCTTTGACCCCGAATAACTTTTTTAGCACACATGGGATCGATGGGGACTTTTGACACTTTATTCCTAATGGTGTACTTAATATCTCCACCAAAATTTAGCTCTGTCGGAATTTTAGTTATTTAAAATGTTTATTTTGACCGGACTAAGAGTAAATTTTGGACTAAATTTTTACTTTTTAAAAATGCTTTTTTAACGGCCTCTGTTGCAAACAAAAAACATGATCGTAAGCGTCCCATCTAAAATTAGGCTGTTAAAGTGGCTGTTCTTGGTCATGTTTTAATGGATAACCGGCAGTGTGTAAGAAAAATTGCTCAAGAATCTGGAGTGTAAAAAAGTAGTTTTTATCAGATTATCATCCATACAAGATAAAACTTGTCCAAGATTTAACAAAGATGATCCGAATTGACAAGCTGTTGAAATTCGATTGTACAGTGCGATCAAAAAGTCTTTCTATCAAGTAGGCGTACAAGTTGAGAACGTACGAGTATGTCGCTTGGTAGTTCGTATATCAGCTAGGTGTTAAAAAATATTTTATAAAAATTAAAACATTGGTGTAAGCAAATTGAATTACTGTATGAAACGCCTTAAAACATCTTAAAATGAGATGTAGTTGGTGTTTATTTGGACAAATTGTTTACCACGATTTTTCTTGATACAGTTTGCATAAAAATTAAATTGACAATTTTTATTTGTCATTGTAACATTTTATCTTCCACATACGCAGGTTTGATAGACAGACTTTTTAATCACACTCTACCTACCATTGGAGCTGGAGGTGGACATTTTAAGCAGTATATTCTTTAAATTAAATTGTTTTTTTTTATAACCACTTTTGTTTCCTCTCGTAATCGAGTAAGTGTTCTCAAAAAAAAACCGTTAAAAACATGGTTGCATGCACAATAAAATCAAAAAATGTGTCACTTGACCGAAGATTTTAGGAAGTGCAAATTGCACTTCCTAAAAGTGCAACAACGAGATATTTATTTTTTATTTTATTTATTTATTTTTTTATTTTATTACTAACTAGACTAATTGTATATCTGAAAAATTCAGCAAAATAATATTGTACTCCCATTTTTTATTAAAAGAAATCTGAAAATTTTTACACAATTCATGAACACGACATGGGAAATAAAATACTGCAATACAAACTTGGAAGCGTTAAGTATGTAAATATAATCTCTACTTAAATATTTATTAAATTACCACAAAACAATTTTACGCCTTCTGAACACAGGAAGCATCAAAACAAAATTGACAAACGATTTGAATTTAAAATTTTTATAAAGTTTATTTCAAAATCATATTAGAATAATTTGCATTAACTTCATCATTCGTGCCTTTACTTGAGATACACATTATAATAAATTATACAGGGCGTTACAGAACTCGCGCTCTAGAAGAAATGTCAAGTAAGTTAAAATACCAAGAACGTGGAAAATATGTTAAAAAATTCTTTTTATAAAAATATTGAAATTATGGGAATCTATATTTAACACTTCTATTTGTTTTTGTTAAAAAAATTATTATAAATATTTTTTCTGCAGTGCAGTCTATCATCAGAAGAATCAAGGAAGTTGTATCTTGAATTGTATTTATCTTTAAGGTTATATGTAGTTTTTATTAGCAAAGTTTTTGTATTTTTACTAAATAATTATGGAAAAACAAGAAAATACAAGATTAACTGTAACATTAACTAGACATAAAAAATGACAAATGTCAAAAAATAAATGTTAAAAAAGTTAAAAAAAATATACATGGATATGTCATCTACGCTAGTAACAACTAAAATATGTCCAATGAATATTTTTCCGTGCAATCTAATAATTATAATACGAGAAATTGATAAAAACTGTCGACTG